GATAGTTTTTTATTGAAAAATTGAATGTGTATAAACTCTGTATATTGATGTGTAATCATGAAAGTTGGACATGTATTGTTATTAGAATATGGATTTCTCCAACTTCCCAATCGTGTGTCATTGGGGGGGCAACTATTATGAGGATGCTGGACAAAAACGCCATGAAGGTGGTAGAAGCAGTTTTGTCATTGTTTCTCGTGGCGCTTGCTTGCTCGAGATGCTTCAAAAAATACATGCAACTACAATGATTACTCCGACTAGTTCTTTGCGTTTGAAAATGAAATTTCCAATGAACGGGGGAAAGTACATGCTTATGCCCCTAACTGATGAACTAGATATATCAAATATGTGGTCGATAATTGAGATGGAGGCTATGTCCACCCTGAAGATATACATTGAGGACTCCATATGTGACACATCTGCTACTCCATCAACATCAAATGCTGTTGTATCTAGGCGTGGTGTGAATGCAGGGAACTCCTCACATGCTGTTGTACTGGACATGGTTGTAGAGGAAGAGAGTATGTATTTGCACAATGATGCATCTTTTTGTGGATGGGCAGGACACTGATGATGATGCTGATGAGAACATCAATGGTGATGACATGACAGAATATGATGAAGATGATGGTGATACTGTCACGGCAACTGCCCCCTCTAGCCACTTTACTAGAATATATGATCTCTCTGAAGGCTTTACTGATGTGTGGATGAGTGGATCAGGTATGAAAAGGTTTACCCCCGAAGGTGAGTTTGACGTCGGTCAACAATTTGACGACAAAGAACAAGTCATCAATATGGTGAGCTTGTATTCTATCAAGCGGAACCAATTTTATCGGGTGATGGAGTCCGATAAACACAAATGGGTGGAGCAGTGCAAAAGGAAGAAATAATGTGATTGCCCCTGGAGAATACGCGCCACAAAGAACAAAGGCAACCTTGATAGCTTCACAATTGTGGGTTATCCGGGACCTCATTCTGCTACGTGTGTTGGCAACACCGACAGTACCGATCACGTGGCTTTGACTTCAGATTTCATCTCTAAAGATGTGATTGACATTGTTCGCACTGATCCTTCCCTTAAAGTGCATACTATCATTGAGATGCTGAAGGAAAAGTATGGGTATACGGTATCATACCGGAGAACATGGATGGGGAAGCAAAAGACCATAGCAGAAATATTTGGCAGTTGGGGGAAGTCGTATTAATAATATTCATATATGCTACATAAATGGTTAGATGGCTATTTGCTGATCTATCTTGCACGTCAGCGGCTTCTGGGCTTGGTGTATGCATGGATGCATTTGATCGGATGTCTGAGGATCAGGTATGGTGTGCGTAAAATAACATTAACTATAATATGTATAGCATAAATACTAATCTTGTATCTTTATGAAACAGATTACATGATTGCCATATACAGCTGAGATGTTTGCAGAGATGGCCCTCGCTAGACGAGAGCATTCTCACATGTGGCGAGCACGTGTGTCGTTGATATGCTTTGACATTGTTGAGCTGCATTTGCCTGATCGTGTATTGTTACAGTTTGGGTTTGAGCACGTCATTCCAGCACCTATCGACACGTATGTAGAGCTTCATAGGCCGGATAGGCGTGGAAAGCATACGGAGGATTGGGCACTGAGACATGTCCGATATGTCATTTGTCCCATCTGTTTCAGGAGACTACATGGGATGATATTACAGCATCACCCGTTTGTTTGTGTCTCCTTTGTTCAGACTCCTTACTCACCATTACCAGCATAGCTCCTTGGCTTTGCATCTTACAGTGAGTATATTACTAATTACTAAAGTAAGTCATTTTCTTTATTTAATACTTTTATTTATTTCTAACTAATTGTAATTGTGTTTCATATTTCAGACATGAGCTTTGCAGCGTATACATCAGCGGGCTACTGTCACAGTGAGTGATACGCAGGACGTGGATATGTACGGCCAGGTTCTGACGGGCATTGCCTCCTTGTGTTCAGATGCCACAATGAGTGATACGCAGGACGTGGATATGTACGGTCAGGCTTTGACGGGCATTGCCTCCTTGTGTTCAGATGTGTTGGGGTGAGTCGACTACGGCTATCTTATACACATTCCCTCATCTCAGGATATGCCATCGACGTCTAGTGCAACAGCGGCTTCATCTTCCCAGACTCAGCATGAGAGAGTGGTTCTTCAACCACGCCAACGGCGTAGGCGTAGGCAGCAACAACATTTCCATGACCAAGACGATCAAGATGACCATGACAATTTGTAGTTTGTCTTTTGTATTAGAGTTTTTCTTGTACACTACATTGTAGGCACAATTGACTTTATTTTACGTATTTCCACCTCTAAACTCTTGTATGATGTGTTATGAATATTGGATGATTGTACTCTGATTTACCGGTTATTGATGCGGTGTTTTGTATGATATTGAGAGCAGGTGTTATGTATGTGTTTGTGAGCAGGTGTGTTGTATGTAATGTGTTGTATCTGGTTTGTAACCCCTAAATAGGACAAGGACACCTTATTTTTAGCAAACAAATGAGTTTGGACTGAACCAAAACTAAAAAGGTGCTGAAATGCACATTTCGGAAGTACGCACGATCGTGCCTACCCTGGGACGCACGATCGTGTGTGGCTGACAATAGCTGCTGGTCTTCGTTCATATGCAAGGGGTAAGTCGCCCAACAGTTGGGCGACTTATAACCATGGTTAAATCCGGCAGTAGATCGGTAAATACTTTTTTCCAGCATTATTTTCGTAATTAATTAATTAACTAACTAACATTAATTCGAAAAAAACTCGATTTTGAAAAGTAAAAGTTGGTAGTGTTTGGTAAAATAAGTGATTTTTGTGTAATAGAAAAGGGAAAAACACTTTTCACACGCAAGCCGAGATAAAGTAAAAATTGATAGTGTTTGGTAAATAAGTCCTTTTTCAAGTCAAAAGCTGAGAAATGATTTTTTAAGTTGTAGCAAACACTCGGAGTTTAGGCCCAATACCAATGATTTTCTATGGACCGGAACTTTGTGATCTGGCCTGGTTTCATGATCTGGTTTGATCGAGTATGGTCTGTTTAAATCTGGTCAGGTTTGGTATGATAGATGTTTGATCTTTGTGTTTTTTACAACTGTCAAACTCTGATCTGATATAATATGATCTAGTTTAGTCTGAGGCTGAAATAATTTCAAATAAAAAACATCTAATTACAACATTTTTTATTGGAATAATCAGTACAACTTCTTAAATACAAAGTAATTTAATTTTATAATAAATAATTATATTAAGATTTTCAAAAATTATAAATATGTCGACAAAATCCATCGACTCAATTGTACTAAACTACGGAGTATTATTTTCAATTATAACGATTACAATTTTTTTTCTACCCAAAATGTTGATGTCTTTTAATTGCCCAAAATGTCCCTTTCACTTCATTTTAAGCCATCTTCATATTTCCTCCATCTTCATTTTGTGAGAATGATCATCATGAAGTTAAATTATACCTACAAACTTTTGACTTAAAATTCAATTGGAAAGCCAGTTGAATAAATTATTGAAACACTGCGCAAAAATATGCATAAAAACACAGTGTTTTTAATAATTTTAATTAGTTGACTTCGCGGTTATTGAATTTGAAATTTTGTGGAGATAATCTAAACTTAACGATGAACATGATCACAAATTTCGTCCAAAAATTATAGTTGAAAGCACCTCAAATGAGCTTTAACCGTACGAAAGTATCATGTATGAGAAGATTACTCATTGAAGGATAAAGGAACAACATTGTGCAATCTATCTAATTATAATGTGGATGCCCTCACAAGAAAAATTTAGAAATAATTTCAAATATATAACCGAAATAAAAATAATGGACAAAAATGTTACTCTAATAATTTTAGTGACTTCAATTATTTTCAAATGTTACATTGTAGTGACTATAAAACCTACTTATAGTAACTTAGTCACTTTTTTGTCCATAAATTTTTTACTAGTAATATTTTAGGAGAGACCTCAAAGTTATTCATATCATCCAAACTTACAATAATGATGTTCATAATTATATAAATAATGACAATTATAGTGATAATAATATAACGGTAACAATTATAATTAGGGAAAAATAATAAAAATACCCCAAGCTTTGAAGGAGTGTGAGGTAAACACCATAAACTTGCATATGTATTTTAAATACCCAAACTTTATATAAAAAGTTATTTTCATGTATTATTTCTTTCAAAAATGTAAATTTATGGGTTAATTTCATAATTTAAAATAGAAAATTAAAAGTGTTGCAATTATATAGATTGGGTGTAACATTATTTATTTCGCAATGGAAGTTTAGAATGTTAATTGTGTCTTCATAAATTCTAAAATATTTTAACTATGCAATTAACATCATAAATTTTCATTTTTGAAAGAATAATACCTGACTATGGTGTTAAAATAATTTTTTATATAAATTTTGGGGTATTTAAATTACATATGCAAGTTTGGGGTGTTCATCTCACACCCCTTAAAAGTTTAGGGTATTTTAATTATTTTTCCCTTATAATTATGACATTTTAAAGGCATTCTCAATTTGGCATCTAATGGCAATTTTCAAAAAATTATAATTATATAAAAATAGTGTCTCCATGATGACATTTTGAAAGAAAAACATGACATTTTGGAAGAGTAATAATGCAATCTGACATTTTCAGAGAATAATTTGAATTTTTAACAAATAAAGAAGAAAAAAAGGGTTTTTTACAAGAATATTACTAAAATAAAACTTATTTACATAAATATGACTATTCATTACTGCAACGTAGTGCTGTGGTAACTAAAGTTCAAAACTTGAACATGAATTACTATGATTTCTTTACTACTCTAGTAATGAATCATATTTTTGTAAACCATCTTTATTTTGGTTATATTTATGTAATTATTTCAAAAAAAAAAAAAACAAATAAAGAAGAAGCAAAGCAGCTCAATCTTTTAACAGAAGAGGGGAAATAGAGAACCTGAGAAAAGGGGAGGATGAAAAAGGAAGGAGTGGGAGAACTATGAGCTACTTCGTCCGACCACATCATTTGGAATCGCTACTCGCTGCTTGCTATTCTCAGCACGTCGAAACTCGATGCTTGCAACCTGAAATAGATGATGAGCGGATCGGAGAAAATGATAAAAATACTTGGAAAGATGGTGAGCTAAGAAGAAGATAATAATGTGCTACTATACATGATTGAAAAATATAAAAGAAGGATTGTTAGAATCCCACACCGGAAAAGTTTGAATAAACAATGTGCTATATTAAGATTTGGGCTACTCCTCCTATCAGGTTAACCTTTTAGGATGGAACCCCAGGTCTTAACATGGTATCAGAGCCAAATCGATCCATGGTGTGGTTCCCTTTATGAAAAATGACGACACGAAACTAAAAAAAATGACAATGACGAACCGACAAAAAAATGAATGACGACACGATCCAGACAAAGTGTCTGGTCGTGAGGAGGGGTGTTAGAATCCCACACCGGAAAAGTTTGAATAAACAATGTGCTATATTAAGATTTGGGCTACTCCTCCTATCAGGTTAACCTTTTAGGATGGAACCCCAGGTCTTAACAAGGATAAATTTGGAGTAATAGTCCAATTTAGGGAATTAAAATATACCTACTTCTATTGGGATTTTTTAAAACACTTATATTGGGAAGTTAAGTATCATTTTATTCCCATTTAGGGCAATATCTCAAATACCAAACCGATACATAATCAAAATCGAACTAAACTAAATCTAGACATAATCTGACTTTTATCGATGATAAATATGTTTCAATCCAAATCAAATTGAATATAAAATCAATATACCATCCCTAGTTCATTCCAATCTCTACCAACAAATGACTTCTTTTTTATCTTCTAATAACTGTGATGAAAGGTTAACATGCAAAGATGCATAAGACCTATATGTAAGTAAATGTGTCAGAGCTCCGCTAGCTATCTATCAATTTGTAATTAAAATCCAATTTACATCCTATCAGTTAATTGTCCGACCAGTGTTGAGACCCTTGGGAAAGTCATCCTTTTATTCATTAGAAATGGTTCGATATAAGACTAAAACATACACAAAGTTCAAAAGTAGTACTAAGCTATTTTATTGTCCAAATATGAGTTATTTGGTCTTATTAAAATAAGAAGTTGATTGACTTATTTAATCCTATTAAAATACGTAGTATAAAATAGATTAAAATTTCCCAAAACAAAGATATTCCTATTTAAGGGCTTAAATGGCTTAATGTTTTATTTAGTCATATTTAGAGAATTCTTCCTTTTTTCATTTCATCTCCTAAAATGTGTTAAGTTACTTAAGTACAAATTCATCATAAGTTCATAACAAATAATCTGAAATCCTAGATGTCTTCATCCATCATATGAAATTTATCTTTGATTTTGGATTTCTTATACTGACACTGTTCCTAAGGGAAAACGTCATAAATATATACGGATATACCTTAAAAATTAATTGAGTATTCATTAAATCTTGTTTCTACCACAAGTACTATTGTACTCCATCAAAAAAAGGGAAATTTTAATACAGCATAGTTGTTTTTTCATCAATATAAAAGGAAACACGAGTAGAGCTTACATGCTTTAACTCCCATCTATTCCAAGAATCAAAACAGAGGAGACGATTTCTCCAATTTCGAGCTTACCAGTATTAGCAACTTTGGTTTATGTATTTCCTTGAAAGAAATTGACGGTGGGTGGGGATATAAAAGAAAAATGAATGAATTCACAGTTGTTGCATGGGGACACAAATTATAATTTCAAAAACAATAAATTTCATATTCATTCATAGTTGAGATACTGAGAGCTCTGCCACCACTGCTCTGACTGTTGTTGCTATTATTCATTTTCTGCACACTAAACTTTTGTTGCAGTCTGCTCTCCCCCTCTTTCTCTCTGAATACCCCACCCCTACCCCCACCCACCCCACTCACCACCTCTCGTCTTCTCACCTGCCTGCCAAAGCAACCAAACGTTTGCAGCAATAATTTCTCCTCCGCCTGTCCTTCTTCCTTCTTCCCCAACCCCACTCCATTATGTACCCATTTGTTTGTAAATATGCCCAAGAGTAGAACATTACTGTTGTCGGCGTTGAAAACCATGCATCATGGTATGAACTGTTTTTAGCACTCCACTTTTATTATATGCCCAGTGGTGTGACAGTCCAGGAAGGCAAGAATCACCACTTATTATTGAGGGGGTGTTGTGAAATATTTTGGAAATGGCCGGTCCGGGAGGAGGGCGCGGTGGCGTGCCGACTTTGCCACCGCCGCGGCCGAAATCGCCGCCTCGGTACCCGGATTTGTATGGGAAGCGCCGGGAATCGGCTAGAGTGCAGATGCTCGAGAGGGAGATTGGGTTTCTTGAGGTGAGTTTTTGATTCTTTGCAGAATGGAACTCTGTTTTATTTGTTCGGAGAAATTGCCAAAAAACAAAAGATGTGGTCTTGGAGTCTTTACAAATATAGTAACTTTTCTGGGTGTAGACTGATTTTACAGAACATTAATAGAGGACTGGTAAAAATTGCAATTTGGGTAACCTTAGCTGTCTTTTTCATTGCCTCTTTTGTATAATATGGTTTCTTCGGTGACATATTCTTGTACATAGAATCTAAATTCTGGTTTTAACTTTTACCAAACAAAAAAGACTGTAGTGGATAAACATCCTGTGTATAGTTTTAGGTTGTCTCTGGCTCTGAATTAGCTTTTCTAGTTAATGAGTGTGTGTATCATCTAATTAAATTTTGGATAAAGAATCAAGTCCAATACAGTTTTTCCCTGATTTTCAGCTGTTTGAGAATACATGCACTCTTACAAGGAGTATATTTTATGAACTGTTGACATTTCTGTATTTGACATTTCCAACATGGCTTGTTTATCTGTTCATTTTCTCATTCTCTTTTTGCTGGCTTTTTAAGGTGTACATTTTCATAAAACAGATATCAAGATATTTTTTGTGATAGAATTTTTTGTGAGAGGTGGAGGGAGCCTCTTAGGGAACAAATTCACTTATTTCTTTTGGCTGAAATGGATTTGAGCAAACACTTAAACTCTTTGAAAATTGGGCAGATTCTCATTTCAGCTAAATAACACTTAAAATACAGGCACTATGTGTTAAATGAATATTTGTGCAAGTTTACTTCCATTTGTGGTTATATTTTGTCTCACTCTTTTTGATGGTTCTTGTGTGAGCAGGATGAGCTGAAATTTGTGGACCGGCTACCGCCTGCTTCCCGGTCATGTAAAGAGTATGTAATTCAAATCTTTCAATTGGCACATGTGGAATGCAAGCAAGTTTTCATCTTTTTCTCTTTACTTCACGCTGAAGAAGTTGCCATCTTGCAGGGTCACTGATTTTGTGTTAGCCAATCCAGATCCTCTTTTACCAACGTAAGATGGCATTTATTTACTTACAACTGTTTTTTTATGTTAAAATCTAACGTTTTTATTTTAATTATATCTTAATCCCGTTAGAATCAAGAAAACCAGAAGATGTTCTCGTTTCTGGAAATGGATCTGGTATGCTCTTCTTATCATCTCTTTTATATAATCTGTTGCAACTCTCAAGCACAAATAAAAAAGCCAACCTTTAACAAAAGAAAATCTACTGATTGTGAAGTGTTAAACTGCAGTCACTATTTGGAATTTAGTTCTCATGGCTTCATTGTATAGCAATATTAAATTTAGGGTTGTATGTGAACAAGACTATTTGTGAACTACTCACGATCGAATCGGTAAATATTTGAACTTAGTTCCGCTTCTCTAGAGCAGAATCCAAGGTCGATAGCTCGAGTAATGAGTTAAGCCTGATTCAAGTACATAGACATGAGCTGCTCACATGCGTAGTCCAGCCATTCTACTATACATATATGTTTTCATATTATTTGTATACATTTACTACAAAACATACTTAAATGTGTACTAACCTCTATTCTTATGTAGTTGGAGCAGTTTGTCTTTCACACATGTCAGTGCAAAACATACTTTTACCACTAATATATTTAATAATGTATTAGAAAAATTATCATAATTGGATATTCTGATAATCTACCTTGAGACAAGACTAACAATGTTATATGTAATATATTTTGATTCTATACATTAGTAAAGACTAACGAGTATGGCCAAAGTAAGGCATCTGATGAGCATTAAAGTCAAAGCGTTCTGATTATAAAAGAATGGGGGGAGGGAGGGGGGAATATACATGTGTAAATTTACTATTCAATATATTTTAATATGATGCTTCGTGTAAAGCATAATATGTGGTTGTATAAAATTAACATTTCATTTTTCCTATAAAAAATTTAAAAAAATTAAATAAAGTTTATCGTAGTGAGGCTCAATTACTTCTAAAGTTGTTATGACCCGGGTTCCGTTTTAAAAGGGACCAGACACTTACATGGATTGTGTCATCATTTTTCATAAGGGATCACACACCATGGTTATGAATTAGTTTGTTCTTGACACTTGGTTCCTAAAGATCAACGTAGGAGTATCCTGATATCCTGATATTGTACTACGTAGTTAATTAGTTGGAAATATTTCTAAGAAGAGGTGGTGAACTATAGTTTGATCAATCTTGATCTGAGCTCCACTTATACAAAAAGTTTGGTATATTTGGTCTAGTTCTTGTATAGGAATTAGGTTTTTCCTTGGCAGCCTACCTTTATTAAGTGTAGGCTAGATTTGAAATAATATCAAAGTAATCCAACATGTGTATAGAAAATAATATCAATTGCATGACTAAGGTTTACAAATTATAGGGCGAACTGTCGAATCCAAGTCTCACCCGAAAACTCGAACTTACGAGAACATTAGAAACTAGAAGTACAAATTGTCGATGAACAATTCAGTTAAAGCGGTGTTTGGAATTGATTCTGCTTCCGCTTCTTTTTTTAAAGCAGAATCCGAATCAGAATCAGTTTTTCAGAAGCTCGTCTCCCCCAGCTTCTAAAAAACTGTTTCTATGAGCAATTTGGAGCACTCAGAAGTACTCCTGCACTTTCACCCAAACACTCCGATATCTGTTTTTGCTCCCTAATGGAACAAAAGTTTTAAGAAGTAGATCCAAAGATTCCAAACACCCCCTAAATGGGTTGTCATGTTTGAAAATTTTTCATCTACTTCATCATCCGTAAATAAAGTCCATAAGATTGGGCACAGATTTTAAGAATGTTAAAATTGTGTGGCTTAGATTTTGGTAATACATAGATAAATAATTTGAACTGCATATCTTTCGTCATTATGAAATGATTGATAATTTTGAGACATGCAGAATGCGTTGAAATTGTAGCGTAAGGAGTATCAAAAGTATAAACTAGAGTGTAATTTGGAAATTTCAGATTTGCTGGACCGAATAATGAAACAAACCTTATTTTTTCGGTTTAGTTTTTCGGCAATAAAGATAGTTCCAGAACGCTGTTAACGTTACGCTTTGGGGCATGGGCAAACGCCAACCCAACCCATGGCCACCCTAAATCCGATTCACTACTTTTTGTGTTATGCCATATGGTAAATTTCTCATTGGATTCTTTTGGTTTTTTATTTTGAATATCTTGTAGTGGGGGGATGTCTTGTATCAGCATCTCATGGATATGTTGTTGCTGCTGTCCTCGTGCCAAAATGCCCTCAAGTTGCTGCTCCAAATGCAATCCAGGATGCCCCAAATGCGCATGCATCAGCTGTTCATGCAGCAACTGCTGTTCTTCATTGTCGTCATGTGCCACTTGCTCATCACCTAAATGTGCGGGGCAGCAGTGTTGCTCGTGCCCGGATTCTTCTCAATGTTGCTCGTGCCCGGATTCTTCTCAATGTTGCTCGTGCCCGGATTCTTCTCAATGCTGCCACAAAAAGTGTTGCTCTTGTTCATGCTCATCTTGCAGCGGTTGCTGTGTTACTCCAAAATGTCCTAAACCTTCTTTTTCTTCATGTTTTAACTGTTCATGCGGCTGCAAATGTAGTAGTAGTACTTGCTGTTGTCCTATTAGCTGTCCAAAGGTAAAATGTTGTAGCAGCTGTACAAATACTTCCTGCTGCTGCAACCCTTTGTACTTTTGTTGCTTCTAGTACCATAATTTCAAACATTATTAGGTATTATCTTTGTTGCTATATTGATGATTATCAAGATTCAAGAATAGTGAAAAACAAGTTTTAGTGATGGAAGTCATATGTACTACAAGTGGAAGCCAAGGAGATTTTACCAAAAGTGACTTCAGAAGTATGTTCGTTTCTCCCAACCACGTCTTCCTTACCACTTTGGTAGTTTGGTTCAATTTTTGCCATGTCTGATCACTGATCTTGTAATGTTATCTTTGATAACATCTTCAATGGGAGGGTTTACCATAATAAGGTCCATTTTATATGGATGGATAAAGTAGGTGCCTATTTTTATTTAAGAGAACTATTAAATAAGTCCTTGTCTGCCCCCCTCTACTATACTAAAAGAGTCAATCAAGTTTTCGTACTACTAAATCATTCAATTAAATCCGCCAACTTATAAAAAATGCTAAAATCTCACTTTTAGCTGATAAATTACTGGTTACCAATTCAAAATGCATATTTAGCATTCACCTACTTTCTTTTTCCTTTTTATTTTTCTGACTTTTCCTCCCCCGTCTTTGTCCAAACTTCTTCTCCCAATCTTCGAACTTGCATGCTCTAGGTTTCTTCTTTGTTTTTCTTTTACATTTTGTTGTTTTTCTCTTTTGATTCGTATGTAGTATTATATAATTAACTCTTGCTCTCCTCCCCCATCTTCCCAATAGGGCGACAACAACGTAAGGTTAGAGAACACCTTACAAATTTATTATATGAAAACTAAAACTACAAGGTAGGGGGACAAGAACAAAAACATACCGATTTAAGGGCATAATTGGAAACACTCAAAGCTTTTCCATTAAAGCTTTGAAACAAATATTGTGGGCCTAGTGTAGCTTTAAAGGCCTTGTTTATTATTTGGTTGTTAGCTGTTAGCTGATTCTGTTAGCAATTTTGACCGGCTAATTGATTTAGCAGTTTTGATCGGCTGATTGATTTAGTTGATTGTTATAAAGTGTTTGATAAAATTAACTGTTTATAGTTGTATCTCAATACAGTTGTATATAAGAGTATAATTGCTATGCAATCAGTGGCAAAGCCAGATGTTTGTGTGTGGGGGGGGGTATCGAAGACTTAAAATTCTAAAGTGCTTGTTCAAAATATAATAAGAACAACAATAGAGTAATAAGTTAGCATAAACTTATAGTTCATTACATACTACTTGAACCATTTCTGCAACTTGGGCAAATCAATCCGACGAGTTTTCATGTTTTGAAAATGTTGCATAATAGTTTCATTATCAATTGCTTGAAAATATCTCTTTCGATGTAGCATACTAAGGGGGTGTTTGCAAATGCTTTTGCTATAAAAAGCACTTTTTAGAGGGATTTAGGAAAAGTGATTAATCGTAAAAGTTAGTAGAATTTGACAAAAAAGTTGATTTTGAAAAGTAAAAGTTGATAGTCTTTAGTAAAATATGTGATTTTTGTGTAATAGAAAAAGTAAAAAAGTAGATTCTAGATTAACTTTTAAGTGTTTAATTTAAGCAAAAGTTGACATATGAAAACACTCTTTTCAGCTTTTTAAAGTCAAAAGTTGAAAATCATTTTTTTTTGTTTTTCTGCAAACATACCCCAAGCAATTCGTAAGATAGCCTTCTCCAGTTTTATTGCGCAAATCTTTCTTAATAATATTCATTGTTGAGAAGACTCTTTCAACAGTGGCTGTTTTAAATGATAATAGTAGAGTCAACTCAATAAGACGATAGAACAATTGAAAAGATTTGTGAATTGTAAGTTCAACCATCTTCTTAAACACTTCACCAATACTTTGCAACGTGGAAAATGCTTCATTTCCTCTCATCTAATATATCCAAGAAGCGGGTGCATACAATATATTGGGGGTGTTTGGAACTGATTCTGCTTCTACTTCTTTTTTAAAGCAGAAGCAGAATCAGAATCAGTTTTCAGAAGCTGGTATCTACCAGCTTCTAAAAAAACTGATTCTGAGAGTATATTAGAGCACCGGAAGTGCTTCTGAAATTTCACCCAAACACTTCAGCTTTTGCTTCTGCTCCCTGAAGAAGCAGAATCAATTTTGAGAATCAGATCCAAACACCCCCATTATATGCAATATATTAGCCGAAGCGGGAGTCACTTACCCCTCATGCCCCCCAAGCTCCTCCATTGTATGCAATTCTCATGTTTTATATGACATGCTTTAAATTATACGTAGTATGTTATTTCATCACAATATGACTTAACTTGCTTTATTTCATGTATAATAAATTAATGTATAATGAAAAGAAAAATAAACATTGAAACAATGGAAAAAAGAAACATATAGAAAAGAAAATGAAAATAAAAGAAATTGAAACAGCTACATGCGGCGTTTACAAAAATGGCTTATTGGATGAACAATCTATTTGAAAAATGTTTTACCAAACACTAATTTTAGTTGGTCACCCAGTCAAATCATCTAAAATTGATCACACCATCAAAAAAATGGCTAATACGCCATTTACCAAACATACCATGTAGAACAGTGCATCAAAGGAAACCTATTTAGAACTTGGTAGTGTAGTTTTTTCAAACGCTCAATAGAAAAATATATTGAGCGTTTTTGTTTTAGTGGGTCAAATGTAATGTGAATAAATATTTAATTGTTTATAGAAGCAAACTTAATAGAACTCCACTCATTTGTCCCTTTCCCAGATAAGCAATCTACTCTTGAAACCCACACTCTAGAAAGTAATACAATGGACCTGCATTGTTACAAGATCAAAGGCCCTAAACCCGCCCTACTACTATGATAAATATAGTCTCACACTATAAAAGTTGGGCCCAAGAGAAAGAAACTGGACTCCTAACTTGATTCCCTGCATTATTATTCCAAGAAATGGAACCAAATTCGTTTCTAACACCCTTCACTCCCTTCCTGGATACAAATGTAACTGTGTACCTTAGCCTGTCCCCTACCTTCTTGAACACTAACCTTTTCGGCTTCACTGTCACCCAAACCGATGGTGGTGATTCCACGGACACTTCATACGTGGAGCCTGCAGGCCCCACATTGGTGAGTTCCCGGGTGTACCGGACGACTCTTGACCCTGGAAAGACCACAGAGAAGGATGGGTAGTTGAGCTGCCCAGGATCCTTGAATTTCTTGTTGCACGTAACGTTTGCTCTCTTGACAATCGCTTGGATGTGCTCATTGGCATAGTCCAAGGAGCACAGGAACATGACGTATTGGGCCGGACGGATGTCATAAATGAGGCCAGGGTAGAGGGCTTTTTGGGGATCAACATGTCCCGATCCATGAGCCCATGGGCTTGAAAGCTTGCCATCCTCGGCAACCCGTAGAGAAGAGTTGGTGTTGTCCCGAGTGTATGCTGTTGTCATGAGTGCAGATTTGATTGCACTTGGGCTCCAGTTGGGATGGGCCGCTTTTAGTAATGCTGCCAGTCCACTAATATGGGGACAAGACATGGACGTTCCTGCAATTGGAATTGTATTAGTTTATTATTGTTATTGGATAAAAACCAAATAATTATTTGGGTTGGTCATCAAAGGACCCTGACAAAAAATGAATGCTAAAACAAGATTGGCTTGTGGGGGTCTGGATAAAATTACACTGTAAATGACAAAAATAAGAAAGCAGGTCTAAAAAGAATGCCTGAAAAAATGGAGCCTTAGAGATCACGGGAAAAAAATGATGGATAATTTTAAAAAATAATAAGAAATAAAACCTTATTCATGGACATAAACATAGCATATGTCCATGGATTACTATCATAAGAAACAATCTCAGGTGAACCAAGAAAGTGTAATTCATGAGTTCTTGGAATATAAGATTATCTCAGTCGAGTCGAGCTCAAATGTGGGCCGGTTAGAGTTCAAACTCAAAATAACTGTAGTAGCTCAAGATCAGCATTCAAGCAAAGAGTAATTGTCGAATATATATATATATGTATGTGTGTGTATCATGAAATACAACCAAACTGAATTGTTCAGTTTTGGCTTTAAAATTATTTAGGTATTTTAAGTGACTCACAAAGGGTACTAAAATAATATTGGAGTAATATGATTATCTTGTGTTTCTTAAGGGATGTTTGAGGTTTGGGAGGAAGGAGAGGAAGACTATGAAGATTGGCAGGCAGTCCAAGGGAACTAAACAATTGATCATTTGACAGATCTTAGAAGAATACAAGAAAAGTCCAAGATCATTTGAAAGATCTTGAAAGATTATTTAAAACTCCTTAACAAAATCTCTTCTCATCCATTCAAAATCCAACTCCCAAACATACTTTAAAGGCATTATCATGATAAAATTCAACTACAACAGTATCATGTAGTCTTGTACTTTTTTACTTATAAAAACATGGAAAAATAACTTTAAATAATACCAACTATCATCCATGAACCAATAATAATACAAACTTAGAAAATGACTTTTAATAATACCAACTATTTGAGTGTAAAACAAAAATAATATGGAGTCATTCTTTGACAAAAAATTTGATCATTTAAGACATCAAAAGCTAATGACAACCCATCAAATAAATGATATTTGAAAATATATTCACTTATAGATATTTTGATACATGTTTTTGATGAGTTAAATAGTTGAATTTTAAGTAAAAAAAAATGCTCTATATCACTTTTTGTCTATATTTAAATAGTTGGTATTATTAAATCTTATTTTCAAAGAACGTATTATTCTTGGTTCACGGAAGATAGTTTGTATTATTTAAAGTTATTTTCCCTAAAAACATAATACAGAGTGTGAATTGATTACTAGCCTAATATAAAAAAAAATAGTTAATATTTATAACTAAATAAAGTTTGTTTACATATTTAAACGTAATAACTATAATAGAAACTTTAATTATAGTAATTTTTATTTAAATAATATTTTTTTAAAACTCATATCAAAAGTGACCTTACATTTATATAATCTTAGAGTAGTGGCTAAGCCGGCTAGAGGGCACAGGGTGATCCGCCCACCCAAAAAGAATTGTAAACATACATGAGTAAAAATATTTTAAATTATACTCCCTCCGTCTTTGAAACAACTTCCCAGTTTGACCTACACATATCAAGGAAATAAACTTTTCAAGGGGTAAATTTTATTGTTTCGGCACTGTTTGACACTGTTTTGCACTGTTTTGATGTAGATAATTTGCCATTTAAGGAAATGGAAAGTTAAATTAGGGACATCCAAATAAGGAAAGTGGAAAATTGTTTCAGGAAGGGAGGGAGTAAAAAATATACTTTTAATTTTTTAAGTACTTTTAATTGGTCAAGTACCTTGTGGTCTGATGGCATTACTGTGACACTCCCAATGAGGATATCATAGGTTCGAGTCTCATCCCAGTTCAAGGATATTGGCCTTAATAGAAGAGATACTACAGTAGGGCACAGAGATTTGCCAAAAAAAATACTTTTTAACCTAATGAAGAATGAAATAATGTTAAGCTCTGTGAAGAAACCTAGCCGCAGCGAGCAAAGTGTGCGGCTGACATAGAAGTTGACTTTCTTTCCTAGGCGTCATCGGAATCGAAATTTGGGAAAGAGAAAATTATCACGCGTATAACTAAAACTGGATGTGCTTCCCATCATATGACTGCTTCAATTTTATTCTAAATCTATGATCGCAGATGCCTTTATCCCATGCACGTGTGTTTTGAATTTTAAGCTAAATACCATTACTATCCTTGGATGCAATTAATGAAATATATTTTCCTTCCTAAAATTGTGGCGATCTCCTTATCACGATTCAGCATAACAATCGGCTTTGTAACTGCCGTGCGTATAACCGGCTCTTTAGTAAATGGAATATTTTAAAAATAAGGAAGTAATTAATAGAAGGTAAGTATTTTCATTAATTTTCTCCCTTAACCATTACGTCTACATACTACAAACAATACTGCCCTCATACACATTTACTACCCTCTTAAAAAATTACTAATATTTTTATATTTACTGTGTATTTCATTTATGGATCATATATAGAATGCAAATATTTACTAACGAATAAAATAATTCATTATTTTATTGTTCGTCTTATTTACTGTCTTATGTTAATGCCCATTTCTTTTTGTCCTCTATTTAGTGCCTATGCTGACCCGTCAACATTTATTACCAAACAATTCATTATTTTTACTGCCTATGTTTTTTTAAAAGGATTTTACTGCCTATGTTATTCACTGCCTTATGTTAATGCGCATTTCTTTATAGTCTCCTATTTAGTGCCTATGCTCACACGCCAACATTTATTACTAAATATTTCATTGTTTTACTGCCTATGTCTTTTTGAAAGGTTTTTACTGCCTATGTTATTCACTGCCTTATGTTAATGCCCATTTCTTTATTGTCCTCTATTTAGTGCCTATGCTCACACGTCAACATTTATTACTAAATATTTCATTATTTTACTGCCTATGTTTTTTTGAAAGGTTTTTACTGCCTATGTTATTCACTGCCTTATGTTAATGCCCATTTTTTATTACCTAAACTATCGGCCATTGCTTTTCAAATAATTACTTTCTTTTGCCGCATATCCTTATTTACGACGAAGAGAAATTAAAGCATACATTAGGCTGCATTAATTATTATTGTTCCTAAAAATAAGGAATTAGTTCGTATATGCATAAGGTCATTATTGGTTATTTATTGTCATCATTCCAGCCGGCCATGTATGTGATGTTCCATTTGGTCATACATAAGATTAAAAACATATATGGTCATATTCTTAGAAAACTCATGAGTTTTAGTTATATTAGAGTATTTTTCCCTTTGGGAAAAGGGCCCGATCGGATCTCTCATCCTAGGATCTGAATTTTGAGGCTCATTACGGAACTGTAGCCAGAGCAGCAATCCTACATCTCATTATTTGATCTCGCATTGTCTAAATCTCTAGGTTGGCAGTTTCTATTTTCTTGGTAGGAATATGAGGCAAAATGACTGATCTTTTTTTGTTAGGGTGTTTGTATTGTTCTATGATGATTCTTTCCTAACATTGATGCTACAATGTGTTTGGTTTCCCTTGATGTGGGTTTGAGCTTTGGTGTCCCTACAAATTCTGTTAGGTCTGAGTTTCAATCTATCTCCTCTTAGACAACATGGAGAATAATGTAGTGGAGGCATAAAAATTGTTTTTGACTCAACTTGAAACGAAGAAGGAAGCGGAATTTAATATTCACCAATATCGCAAGAGTGCGCCCTCCTTTGGAATCACCTACATGGCATGAAGAGATTTGTAGAAATGCTTTATTTAAGTATTATTTTATATTTAGTACTACTTGTTTTTATTTTGGTTTGTGTATTGGGCTATTTGAATTTTTCTTTGATAATATTTTTCTATATGTATTTCCATCATTTGGAATGGAGCCAAAGACTCACTATTTTTTGGCTTGAACATATCTGCACTTCTTTGTTATGAAGCTGCAGTGAGTCCATGCGATTTTGAACGCGATTTTCACTATGAGTCATCCGAAAACAGTCTCTCTGTGCTTCAGTACAGGGGTAAGACTGCGTACATCCGACCCCCTTTACCCCACCGTAGGTGGGAGCCTTTGCGGCACTAGGGTAATAATGATGATGAATATTTTTCTATGTGGTTGTTAATTGCCTTGATGAATATTTGCGTTTCTGATCATTCAATTTTGTATAGAATGGTTGACTATATGTCTATTGCTAGGCTTGCGGTCAGTTCTATAATAACTGAGTGTACGTTTTCTTGTATGTTTTATCTTCAAGAAAATGTTATTGGATGATTGTTCTTGGTATATTAATATGATAGTATAATTTTTTTTACCTTCACCCTCTTGTTATGAAATTTCTGATTTCGGCGCTACCTTAGAGTAGCTCTATTTACGAAATTTCTAAATACATTTCGTATTTAACATTCCTCGAATCAAATGTTCCAAGTATTACGCTCCTTAAGTCCTAAAACTTGAACCAAAAGATTGCATGGTATGGTACCCAGCAAAAAAGTAAAAATATGAAAAAGGCTACATGTTTATTGTACACTTCCCTCTAGTTGCTTGTATGTACAGACTGCTCGTTCAGAAATTGTTGTGTACACAAACAACTAGGCAGTGTGTACAAGAAATGTGTACAAGTAGCACCACCCTAAAAATAGGGTATCTATAAAACATATGATTGCTAACACCATTATTATTTCATGATTTATTTGTATTGAAATTGTAATTGTTTAAGAATTTCGAATTAATTGCATTTTTGGTCCGACGAATTTTGTGTCAATTCCACCTTTAGACCCCTTCTTTCGCTTTGTCTACTTTTGGTACTTGACTAATGTTTTTAAAACCGTTTGTGGTCCTTTTCCGGCGACTTTAACCATCGGAAACAATGTCGGAAGGAACATATATGAGAGAAAACACAATATTCATGTATCAAAAATGAATAAAGTTAAAGATGTGAACTAAATGTGGAATTGACCTAAAACTCATTGGACCAAAAATGGAATTTGTTCATTGTTTAATTGTTGCACTATTATGATTGAACTACACACTTAAGAGCAGTAGAATTCGGCCCTAGCCACATTGTACCTCACATTATTATACTTTTAAGAGAAAAGGGGCAAAGAAGCCCTTGAACTATTTGCGTTTCTGCAATTAGGCCCCTGAATTAGAAGACTTGCAAATGCATCCTCAACTTCTCAAAAATTAAGCAAGCGGGTCGTTTTTTTACCTGTTGGTGTTGGGTAAGGAGATGAAAATCACCGGCACCAACAAGTAAGAAGTGCCTAATTGCTTAATTTTTAACAAGTTGAAGGGTGTATGTGCAAGTCTTACGGTTCATGGACCTGATTGCATAATCACAAACAGTTCGAGAGCTTATTTGCTCCTTTTCTCTATTTGTAATGTAATTTTAAACAACCGAAAGCAAGCCCTCCCAGTTGCATTAGAGGCGTTACTCTTCAGCACAATTTATATCACTTAATTTATTTTTATAACTTTGCTATAAAAAGCCTCAAAGTTGTTAAATACCCTCTATTATACAATACATAGGAGTATCACATATGCTACTCTATTCTTAAATAGAGAGACATCAGAAATTTTACACTAGGTGTAAAAAAATAGTAACAAATGCATTAAAATTTTAATGTAAAATACTACTCGTATAATTTAATTGTTCTCATCTTAAAATTTCAAAATGAGATTTTATTTAAAATTTTACAATCAGAAAATTAAATGAGATTGTGCATTGTACGGAGTAATTTAGATTTTATATATTGCTATATACGGAGTACAATTCACAAAGATAATTTATAGGGAGTATTTTTAAGGTGATGACTGATAAGAATATTAAATAAATTATCACAATGTCATTAATGAGTAGCGTTGGCGACAAAGATATAATCATTGTCTGATGAAATATTTTCAGATTTTCAGGGAATAAATAGCGTGAAAAAGTGTCCGTTACGAAATGCTTACCAGATAATATGTTGAATGGAGTCCTCCTAGTGTCTTGCAGGAGCCCAGTGGGCCCGGTGGCCATTGACCACGAGGCCAAGATATTCACTCCGGGCCCAATCACATCAGGCTTTAGTATTTGCGGGGTCACCGTGTTCGGCCCTCTAGAGCTGAAAGCAGCCACCACCGGCGACGGTTTCACATTCAGAACCGTCCCACCGAAGCTGAGCACCGCCGTGGGATTCTTAGACCCCTTTACATACTCTCTTATCGCGTCTCCAGAATGCTTTCCCACCGCCACCGCCGGCAATAAGTGGCTGTCCGCCACGAGCTCCTCCCCGCTCGCCTCCGTGTTTGCTAAAATCATACCCACCCCGCCGGCTTCCTTCACCACCTCGCCCTTCTCCACCCTCGGGTTCGACCCTCTATCGCACAGAACTACTTTTCCTTTCACCAATTTTGGATCAAGCGATCCCCGTTGGCACAAATTGCCGGCAGTTTCGTTGCCGGAATTGTACACCAATCCGATTGGCCGTTTCCCCAATCCTTTCCCGCTGTACAAGGACACTCCGGTGAGCCTTTTCCCGTTCCCCAATGTGGCATACGCCGGAAAGTCCCTGTCAATTGTTCCAGCGCCGACGGTCATGATCCAAGGAGCAACGTTCGCCACCGTCGATTTCACTGGTCCACTGTTCCCTGCGGAGCAAGAGACGAAAATCCCTCTCTCCATTGCGGAAAAAGCTCCAATGGCAATTGTGTCGCGATAGTAAGGGACAGAGCCGCCGCCCAGTGACATTGAGAGCACATCGACGCCGTCGAGAATAGCTTGCTCCATCCCGGCGAGGATGTCCGACCCGAAGCACCCGGATGTCCAGCACACCTTGTAGGCGGCGATGCGGGCGTTGGTGGCCATCCCGCGGGCTACCCCGGAGGCGTACCCAAAGAGGCTGGCGTTTGACACTTGGGACCCGGCGGCGGTACTGGCGGTGTGAGTCCCGTGACCCTCGGTGTCACGCGGAGATTCCACCTCTCTGGCGGATCCCATCTCGGAGGCCATGTGGAAGCCGCGGGCGAAATACCGGGCTCCGATAAGCTTCTTATTACAATGGACCTTCGGATTGAAGTCCGACCCGGATTCGCACCGCCCTCGCCAACGGGCCGGAACGGCGGGCATACCGATATCATTAAAACTCTTCGATTCCGGCCACACACCGGTATCGAGAACTCCGATGATGACATCCTGGGTGGCACGGTTGAGCTCCTGCATGCCGTGGCCCGTCCAGAGCCCGCCGGACATAGCATCCAAGCCGAGAAACTCCGGCGTACGGGTGGTGTGGAGACTGTACACCGTATCCTCGTAAACCCCTTCAACACCTTCCGTTTTACGGAGCGCCTCCGCCTCATCCGGATCCAAAGAGGCGGCGAAGCCATGATAAGCGGTGGTGTAGGTGTACAGCAGGGAGTCGGGACCTGAAGAAACCGATTGGAGATGGGCGGAAAACCAATCGCGGTGGGTTTCGAAGGAAGCAGGCTTTTGGGTGTTTTTGATATGGACGATGTAAGTTGTTTTAGAGATTGCCGGAGATGGGCGGAGAAGGAGGAGGACGGAAACGGATATGAACCAAAGAGTGGCGGAGTCCATTGGAGAAGATAATGATACGCCCAATACAGAAAAATGTTCAGATTTTGTCGAGTTTATAAACAAAGGAAGTTATAGACAAAGGTTTGAATTTGGGTGTTTTTACTTTGAATGCCACTGCATTGTTTTACCGTTTGGATTGGGGATAGATCATATCGTTGCATTCACGGGTTGCCTAGAACGCGGAGGTGTGCATTTATACGGAGTATTGTTTATCGCGCTCCACTCGCTTTTTAAATTGTTTTCACACTTTTCACTCGTTTCAAAAATTCTATAAATCATTTACATATTTATTTGGCTAAAGGGTTAAATAGGTACATGAACTAACTTAAAGTGTTCAATTAGCCCCTTATATAGGAGGTTCTGCCCGACCGTCGCCAATTGGGGCGTTTCCAGGTGGAATTTTTTGATGAAATTTTTTGAGCATCTTCTGCATTAAGTCTAGTTTATCCATACCAAATTTCAGCTAAAAATTCAACCGGGAAGGCAGTCAAATGATTTTTTGAAGATAACTGCACAGGTAAACAACGCAGTACATTTTGGAAAATCATTTGACTGCCTTCCCGATTTAATTATTAGCTTAAAGTTGATATGAGTAAACTAGACTTAATGAACACTTTAAGGGGCAGAACCTCCTATATAAGGGGCTAATTGAACACTTTAAGTTAGTTCATGTACCTATTTGACCCTTTAACCTATTTATTTCGAAAACATTCGAAAGTTTATTAAAAAAAGAGGAATACAGATAAGTTTAGTACTTTAACTTTGATAAATAACATTTTCATATAATTTTTACTCACTTCGTTCCTTAAATTTTGTCAAGTTTGACCGACATGAGGATTAATAACGTAAAAATTGTAGTTTGAGATTTATGTAGAGGAGAGAAAATTAACAGTTTCACTTTACTTAAGGTGAAAGTGGCAAAGTTAGTGGAACATCCATAAATGAAAAGTTAACAAGTTTTAAAGGACGGAAGAAGTATATTATAAATATTTTCCAATAAAAATATACAGTTGATCAAGATTTTAAAAGGAGTAAAGAGTGAGATTGGTTATTGAACTTGCATAAAAGGGTCAAATAAGTCCTTATATAGGAGGCTCTGTCCGGCCGTCGCCATTTGGTGTGGTTCCCGGTGGATTTTTTTAATGAAATTTTTTGAACATCTTGTTCATTAAGTCTAGTTTACTCATACCAAATTTCAGCTAAAACTTCAATCGAGAAGACATTCAAATGAATTCTTGAAGATGACTGCACAGTTAAAAGCGCAGTTATCTTCAAGAATTCATTTGAATGACTTCCCGATTAAAGTTTTATTTGAAATTCGGTATGAGTAAAGTAGACTTAATGAATAAGATGCTCAAAAAAATTAATCAAAAAATTCCACCGGGAACCATCCCAAATAGCGATGGCCGGACAGAGCGGACTTATTTGACCCTTTTTATGCAAGTTCGAGGACAAATCTGACTCTTATCTCATTTTAAAAGTGACAAAGTTTTATGGGAGATGGAAACAGTACTTGTATTTCATAATAGAAATTTGATAACATTTTATACATAACAATTTAATTATACATATTAATAGAAAATCTTGTACAAAGTAAGATGTATGAATAGTGCAAAATCACAATGTTACAACTATTAAAAAATAGGGGAAGTATATCACACGGAGTAATATTTTTAGTGCACATACTCACATGATAGAATAAAGCAAAATTACTCACTAAACTGTCTGTGTTTCTTTGTTTTGAAGAAACAGACAGTCCATGCAATTTTGGACGCGTTTTCGCTATGAGTCATCCGGAAACAGCCTCCCTGTGCTTTAGTACATGGGTAAGACTGCGTACATCCGACCCCCTACCCCATCGTAGATGGGAGTCTTTGCGGCACTGAGGTGATGATGATGATGTACTCACAATGTTAAATTTGAAAGGGAAAGCTCCCGAAATAGGAGTAAATAGATTTTGGAATTCCCAAGATGTGATTGTTATATTTTTCTTTTCGAATTAATAGAGACATGCTTGTGTTTATTGTTATTTCGAAGTAACTACTGTTAAAATAGTTGCAGTACTAAACATTAACATAATAACATACCAGTATATATTGTCATTAGAGATAGAATTTTTAATTAACAGATCTTATTTCGAAAAAACATAAAAAACATAATCGTTCTATTTTGAAAATTTTCAATTTGAAATCTTAAAAAAGAGCCTATTAGAACCTTTTGGCCAAAATGGTCATAATAAAATAAAATTTAAATATTTTACTACATTATTTAATTTGAAAAAGCACGATAGATCAGATGATTGGCAGGGGATTAAAACGGCAAATGCACAATTAACAGGGTGAAAAACAAAACGAAATTGTATACGGAGTAATAAGGATTAGATTTGTAGTGGTTATATTTATATTTAACTCAATTATGTTAGGATTCAGAAAAACTTATCTTAAATGTTGTAAATAAGACATATTTGTGAAAATAATGGGAAGACTTACCATGTGGTGATGAATACTCTATTAGTATTCCCCTAAAGTATATGACATTGAAAAATACATATCTCTCAATTTTCTTTTAGAATAATTAAATAAACATCGAAATTACATATTTATAATTTATATTAATATACTCTCAAACTATATACGGAGTACTCGATCCCTAATAAAAAAAACTCCTTTAAAGTCATCTACTTGAAGAATATCACTATTTGATTTATCAAAGCCGATGTTTGACTGACTTTTTGATGTCGCACCTTTCGAAAACCATGACAAAGATTACCAAGTGAGGTACTTCAATCACATAAAGAACATTCCTCAATGTCCCAATGAACTTTCATTTCACTTACCATGCAATATGCCCACAACTTATTTTTCTCTCTTATTTTATTATTTTCAAAATAAAATGCATGGTATCAATGTCTTTTTTAATTTATTTTGTCGAACTTTGTCATGACTTGAAATACTTTTCATGGTGTGACTCTAGAATGATTTCGATCACGGAATATATACAAATTATTCAGTGTGTATATACTCACGAATATCATCACATTTCTATAGCTTAATAAAATTAGTCAAATAGGTGTCTTGAAAAATCCAAGCTAGTATGATTTTGTTGTGAACTGAAATTATGTAAACACTCATAAGTGTTTTATGTTCGTCTTTCCTTTATTATTCTTTGTTTTGTTAGATCAGAGAGAAGTTAAAGAAAGATAGACGTAGAAGTGGTTCAATGTGTAGCAGGGGCGGATCTACATGTTCTTCAATGGGGGCACATGCCCCCAATAAAATGTGAAATTTTAGTGTTATTAAATTGTATTTTAATATTAAAAGTGGAAGTGCCCCCAATTAAAAAATAAGGATGCCCCCAACAAAACACTCACAATCCCACGTCACTAAGTTTTTTTTTTAAGAATCCTACGTCACTAAGTTGATCATCCAAAACCCACTAATCAATTAAAGAATTTTCATATTTTATTAGGCTATTTTTTGTTAGTCTTCCTCGCATTTTATTTTTGCATATTTTATAAAAATATGACTAAAATAAGTATCAGCGTTTTTATCTTGAGGATATGTATTCTTGATTTTTATTTTCCAACTAAGAGTGCTCGGAAAAATCGTCATTAGGGAAATATGTTTACAAGTACCCTTATTTTGGAAATAAGATTAAAGACCAAGTACCTTTCCTCCGAAAAATCATGTTACTATGAGTACAATGTCATGGTTACTTAAGCGTAAAAAAACACATATATTACTATGAGAAAGTTATATATTCTAAATATTAAGCTCAAATATGTGTGCGCGCGCGCGTGTGCGCATTTATTTAAAAAACAATTACATATTTATGACTAAAATAAAGGTATTTTACAAGAATGTGACATCTTAAATGTACATAATTAATTAATGCACTTAAATACGGAATATGTAATTGTTCAAATAAATGTGTGTGTGTATTGAGCTTAATATTTAAAATATAGAAAGTCTTAACTATGAGATTGATTTTAAATATAATATATATATATTTCAAAAATATTTGTACTAAACCTCTTAAATGATGCCCCCAATAACCTCTTTTCCTGGATCCGCCACTGATGTGTAGTATTATTGGTATGTGAGAAAGATAAGTAGCTAGATAACATTTAACGAAATGTTTTGTTGGTGAATGAGATTTGTTGGTGAATGAGATTTGAGTTTGTCGTTCTCGTTCAAAATGAGTATGAATGTATGATATACTATGAAGCACGGATACTTCCCTAGGGTAGCGTATCGGCGTATCCGATACGTTCCCGTATCCGATACTCTAGGATATCCGTACCGTACGTTCCCGGGCCGTATCTGCAATTTTTAAAAGTTTCCATTTTTTTTTTGTAATTTTTTGAAAGTTTCCGATACTCGTATCCTGACGGATACCCGTATCAACTTTTTAAAAAAAAAAATCCCAAATTTTACTTAATAAAATTCTAAAAAAAATGAAAATCTAAAATTACATTTTACTTGATAATCAAATAATGGGCCTATATGGCTATATCCGAATTAAGTCATTAACTCATACTCCGAATTGGGTACTTGCACTTTTAATTTCAAGATTGTAGTTGTTTGACTTATTTCTCATTATAAATTAATAACTTATTGACTACATTTATATTTCGAGATACACTAGTGTATACGAAAAATATTATGAATTTATTACTAAGTATCTTGAAAAAGGAACATGTTTCAATGCAATGAATGGGTAGACATCATAGGATATTATATGTATGTATATATATATATATATTAAAAAAATCTATTTTTAATATTTATAAATAGACCCCTATAACTTTTAATATTTGTAAATACACCCCATAACTTTTAATATTTATAAATATGGCCCCGTATCCGTATCCTACTTTTTTTGGTTTTGACGTATCCCCGTACCCGTTTCCGCGTTTCCGCGTTTCCGCGTACCGGTATCGGTGCTACATAGATGATATAAGGTCACAATGATAGGAATATGTCCTGTTAAAAATAATATTTATATCCTCGATTCATATATTACACAACGCTACAATAATGTAAGCATTGTAACTTGTAAGGGATATATACAAGTATACGTACTAATAAAACACACAAGTATACAAAACTAATCTTAACCCGAAAATTCATGAATCGTGATTTATATTATCAAAATAAGTTTTTAAAAAAAAATTAAAATAAGAATCGGTATTTCCATATTAATGAGAATTGGTATTTACTATTCATAGTTTTCTTTGAA